AACAGCAACCAGATATACACTATTGTTCTGATGTATCAGAATCTTGAGATATTCAGCAGTCAACACAATTAGATTCAGATTCCTAGTGGAAGAAAGTAAGGTGCATTGTTTTTGAAAGACCAGTAGAGGTGTAATCATTACTTTAAAATTCATAATACCAGATTATTGCCTACAGGCAGTTACTAGGAAACAGTGCACAGTGTAGGGTGGTAAAACCCCAGAGTTTAGCAGTGTTACTGGCACGAGAAATCAGGTTCTTTGGAGAATTTGCAAAGCAGAGTATAAGAGAAGATTGAGCTGTGCAGAGAAAGCTCCAGCTCTCTGCAGCGGGTTCCCCTAGAATCTGTAGTTGAGTATTGACTGGCACATGCACATACCAAGGCAGAAACTACCCAAGGCTATGAAAAGGAGTGGATCGAACAATCCCTTGAATTCATAAAGAGCTGGAAATAGTTTGTGTTTTCAGCAGCCCATATTGAGCAAAAACTCTCAATTTATACTACATGGATTGGTGGACATAAGAATATTACCCTTGAACTGGTTTTAGATTAAAGCATGTGTTAGACCTGTTCTGAGAACATTTAGAAGCAAGACTCAAAAGAATGAGCTGGTTCCAAATAACTATACCTCATAAAAAAACACAATACTATATAAATTCCTAAGCAAAATCCAGTAGTCATTGATAAAATATTCACTGCTAAAAAAGAGAGAAGAAAAAAGTAACAAACTTGAGAAGAAGAGGAAATATAACCTTTAATATAGATGAAAATCAATCAAAGGAAATAAAACCAGAAGTGAGATGTTAGAATTAGCAGATAAGGGCATTGAAATATTATATTTTATATTCTATTATGTTCAAAGAACATAGAAAAAGTGTGAGTATGATCATAACGGAAATAAGATAAAGACTATGACCCTATTACATTTCTAGGTAGATTAGAAATTGTGGAAATTTAAATTGTACAAAATGAAGTATAAAGTTTTTTTTTAAGCTAGAATAAATTAATGGAGCATCAATAACATGTAGGGTAATAGAAAATGACCAAATAAAGGTGTAATTGGGGACCAAGAAGAAGAGAATGTGGAGCCAGAATGAACTTAAAAAGAAAACAAGATAATAACTGAAAATTTCCCACATTTGCTGGAAGATGTAAACCCACAGGTTTTAGAAGTTTAGTAAAACTGAAGCAGAAGACACATAATGTCCCAAATTACTGAAGAATAATGAGACAGCCAGGTGCTGGTGGCTCACACCTGTAATCCTAGCTACTCAGGAGGCTGAGATGTGAGGATTGCAATTCAAAGCCAGCTTGGGCTGGAAGGTCCATAAGACTCTTATCTCTAATAAACTACTCAGAAAAAGCCAGAAATGGCTCTCTGCCTCAAGTGGTAGAGTGCTAGCCTTCAGCACAGAGTCTCAGGGACAACATCCAGGCTTTGAACTCAAGCTTTGGGACCAGCAAGAAAAGAAAAAGTATAACAGCTGACCTATGCAAACCAAAAAAGAACTGAGATGTACATTTGAAGTAGTGAAAGAGAAAAAAACTCATCAGCTGTCAACCTAGAATTGGTGATTTAGTGAGACAAGCAAAAGTTAGGATATAACAAAAGCTTTTCAGAAAAACAAGAACCAAAAGCTGAAATTATTGCCATCAAACCTTCACTATTAAGTAATGTTAATGGCAGTCTCAGATAGAAAGAAAATGGTATTAAATAGGAAGTTAAATCTAAAGGAATGAGGAGTGCCAGAAGTGGTAAATCTGTGGATAAAGTTTTAACAGATTCACATTTTTAGAATAAAGATGTTACTGGAAAAATGGAAACATGAGTAAACTATGTAGATGAACTGAAATGTTTGATCATTAATTTCTGAATAGGAGCAATTGAACTAAAGACAAGAAATCCCCGTATTATGTATTATAACATTTCTGTAAATCTTTTTCTTTTCCTTCTTTCTCTTTCTTTCTTTCTTTCTTTCTTTCTTTCTTTCTTTCTTTCTTTCTTTCTTTCTTTCTTTCTTTCTTTCTTTCTTTCTTTCTTTCTTTCTTTCTTTCTTTCTTTCTTTCTTTCTTTCTTTCTTTCTTTCTTTCTTTTTGTCGGTCATAGGGCTTGAACTCTGGGCCTAAGCACTGTCCCTCAGCTCTTCAGCTCAAGTCTAGCACTCTGCCACTTGAGCCACGGCACCATTTCTGGATTTCTAGTGGCTTACTGGAGATAAGAATTCCTGCCCGGGCTAGCTTTGAACCACATTCCTCAGATCTCAGCCTCTTGAGTAGCTAAGATTACAGGCATGAGCCACTGGCACCTGACTACATTTCTGTAAATATAAACATCATAAATTAAAAGTTAATAGATTACTTAAAATATCAGTAATCAGAATATTTTCTGGGCTTATAGCATTTCTTAAGCAAAAATATATGATGACCATAGCACAGATGACATTAAAGGGAAATGCATTTATTTTATAGTTTTTATACCAGATGTGAACTTGTACAATACTAATTTAAAATAGATTTGATAAGTATATATGTTGCAGATCCTGAAGCAGTCACAAAAAAAAAAAAAAAGCCACATACTGGTGGCTCACACCTATAATCTTAGTTCTCAGTAGGCTGAGATTTGAAGATTGTGGCTCAAAGCCAGCCCAGGCAGGAAAATCTAAGAGACTCCTAATTGACTATGAGAAAACCAAAAGTGGAGTTGTGGTTCAAAGTAGTAGAGCACTAACGTTGAGCAAAAAAGCTTAGGACAGTGCCCAGGCCCTGATTTCAAGCCCCACGATTGACAATAAATAAATAAAAATTTGGAGAAAAAAAATTTTTAAAAATCTAGGACAGATAGCTAATAATACGATAGTGGAAGTAAATTGATACAATGGGAGATATTTTTTGATTAATGCAAAAAGTAAAGAGCAGATGAGACAAATTAAAAATTATAGCACGATCTTAAATCCAATTATAACAATAACTACATTAAATGTAAATGAACTAAAATCCCAATTAAAATAGATTAGCACACTGCACAAACATAACAGAATGAACTGTTAATATATTTTAACATGGATATATTCCAAAAGCAGCAGAGACATTCATCATATTTATTACTTGATAACACATGAAATTCCAGAGCAGTTGTTACCAGATCCGCTGGCAGAGAAAGGAAATCAACTTGAAAAGATAAGAAGAAACATCTTGGTGGTGATTTAAAGAAAGTTCTATATTATGATTGTGTAGGTGGCTCCAACACTGTACGTTTGTTATAGCTCATCTCTTTTGTGTGAATTTTATTATTTGTTGGCTATCTTCAAAACAGGTTTTTTTTTTTATTGTAAAGATACTATACAGAGGGTTACAGTTACATGAGTGAGGTAATGAGTACACTTCCTATTGAGCATTGTTACCCCTCCATTGTTTTCCCCCTACTATCCCCTTCCCTCCCTACCTTCCCCGAGGTTCTTTTTTTTTTTTAATTGTGATTAAGTGATTACATAATTTCCCAAATTTCACAGTATTGTGGAATAATGATGCTCATTTAAAGTCACAAGTTCATTCTAACTTTCCTGGAGCAAATTGTCTATCACGGTCTATGACATATAACAGTGTACACATACACACCATACATGTGATCAGCAGCATGAGGATATTTAGTAGTGGTTCGACCAGATGAGTGGAAGTTCTTTGTTTCTTAAGTCCTGTTAATTTTGTGGTATCACTTAACATTTTGGATTTAACATCCACTTATCAGGGAGACCATGTACCGTTTGTCTCTTTGCTCTTGGCTTACCTCGCTCAACATGATTCCTTCTAGCTCTGTCCATTTCCCTGAAAATGCCATTATTTTGTCATTTCTAATGGCTGCATAATAATCCATTGTGTATAGATACCACAATTTTTGGATCCATTCATCTGTGGTGGGGCATCTGGGTTGTTTCCATATCCTAGCTATTGTGAACAGTAACAGCTTATTTTTTTAAATAAGTTTTTTATTGTGAAAATACTGTACAGAGGAGTACAGTTACATGAGCAAGGTAGTGAGTACATTTCTTATCCATCATTGTTGCCTCCTCCTTTGTTTTTCCCCTACCATCCTGTCCCTCCCACCTCTTCAACTACACCCCCCCCCCCATCCATCCACCCCCCCCACTCCCACTGGAAAAAATTATATTAATTGAAGTAAGCCAGGCCCAAAGAAACATAGGTCCCATGGTTTCCCTTATTTGCAATAACTAGTGTATGTCTGAGACAAGCAGAAAAGATCAGATAAGATGATGCTAAGCAAAATGAACCCAAAGATAGGGACACAAGTATTTTTTTCTTTCTTGCTATTGTTTCTAACATATTTATAAGGTACCATGTGATTTTTTTTTGTTGCTTTGTATGTTCCCCACACACACACAGTATAACCCCTGTTTTCACTGTATTTGATGTTGATATAATTTGGGGAGGGGAAGGGAAAAAAGAAATTGTTTAAATAAATAGGGATACAGATTGACCCATTGCAACAATGAGATTTACAAAACAGCTTAATTTACACAGCTGATACAAGCATTAGAAAATTTAAAGAATGTAAAGTTAAATGAAACTGTTTTAAATAAACTGAAAAAAGTTATTTCTGAAAAACAAAGTAGCCACTTACCCTAAAAAATAGTATTCAAGATATGAGAAGTTAATACAATTTTGTTTGTTTATTATTTTTGCTGGTCCAGCGGGGCTTGAACTCTGGCTTGGGCACTAACTCTGCACTCCTTTTGTTCAAAACTACTACTCTAACACTTGAGCCACAGTGCCACTTCCAGCTTTTTCAGTGATTACTTGGAGATAAGAGTCTCATAGACTTGGTTGCCTAGACTGGATTTGAACCATGATACTTAGATCTCAGCCCCTTGTGTAGTTAGGATTATAGGCATGAGCCACCAGTGCGTGGCCTTAATATGGGTTGTTGTTTTTTATTAATGAGCTTCATTTATCTACTACATTTTACATGCATTCTTTAATTATTAGGTTGAACTCAAGCGACAGTACAATGACCACTACTCACAATTGAGAGGTCTTCTGCCTGGCCGTCAGTGGTATGAAATACAAGCATATAGGGCCTTAAACCAGGCCCTAGGTAGGTAAGTAGAATAAAGTTTACATTACTGTAATTTTAATCTATAGCCAAGGTATATGTAGAAGTTATACTGCTACTTATTCTTTCTTACTAGATATGATTAAAATTTTTAAGTACAAACTTCTAAGAAGATTTTTTTTGTGTTACATGTTAATAAGTAGAAGTTGAAAAGTACCAACAGACTAAATTAGACCCAAAACAAAATGCAAAATGTACTTATGTTTAAAAAAAAACATGTTGTGGGGCTGGGAAGGTGGCCCAGTGGTAGAGCACTTGCCTTGCATGTTTGAGGCCCTTGGTTCAATTCTTTAGCACCACATATGCAAAAAAAAAAAAAAAAAAAAAAACGCTCTAAGTGGTGCTGTGGCTCAAGTGGTAGAGCACTCACCTTGAGCTGAAGAGCTGAGGGACAGCGCCCAGGCCCAGCATTCTGGCCCCATGACAGACCAGAAAACAAAAATGTTGTAATTGGTTAAACAATGAATGACATGGACTTTGCCAGTGATTATGTTTTTGTTATTCCACAAACATTAGGAAATAGAAGAGTCTTTAACTCCAATTTCCTACATAAGAGGCAGGAAACATTTCTTTCTCTGATACCAGAATACATAAAGAACTCTTAGAGGATGAGTGTGGCCATGGAAATCTGTAATCCCAGCTACTTGAGACATAGATAAGAGGATTTTAGTTTGAGGTAGGCCTAGGTTATCCAGAAAGTAAATGAATAAAAATGGAGTGAGCAGTGACTTACGTAATGGGACATATTGACTACTTAGAAAGTATGAAGCCTTTATTTCAAACCCTGGTACTGAAAAACAAAAGAAAACAAAAATTCCTAAACTCTTACTTAGAACTTAACACTAAAAAGACCCAAATATGTAAAGCTTAAAGTGAGCCAAGGAAGTGGCGCTGTGGCTCAAGTGGTAGAGCACTTGCCAGTGCTGGGACAGCGCCCAGGCCCAGAGTTCAAGCCCCATGACCGCCAAAAAAAAAAAATTTTTTTTGCTGAATTTCTAGCTGGGCACTGATGGCTCACGCCTGTAATCCTAGCTACTCAGCAGGCTGAGATCTGAGGATCACAGTTCAAAGCCAGCCTGGGCAGAAAAGGCTGTGAGACTCTTATCTCCCGTAAACCACCAGAAAACCGGAAGTGGCACTGTAGTCAAGTGGTAGGGCTCTCACCTTGAGCTGAAGAGCTGAGGGGCAGCGCTCAGGCCCGGAGCTCAAGTCCCATGACAGACTAAAAAAATAAATAAATAAAAATAAAAACAAAGTGAACGAATACTTTGAATAGATATTTCTTTACAACAGTGATGCTCACCACAGCTAGGCATTAGGGAAATACTATTAAAACCACAATGAAATACCATTAATTAGGGAAGATATAATTATTAAAAGATGTACAATAATAATGTTGGTGATCATGTGGAGATTTTGAAACCCTCATGCATAACTGATGAAAATGTGAAATTATGCAGCTCCTTTGCAAAACAATGTGAGAGTTCTTCAAAAAGTTAAACATATAGGTCCCATATGGCCTAGCTACTCCTAAGTATATACCTAAGAGAATCAAAAAACATGCATTTATACAAACACACAAGTGTTCATAGCTGTGTTACTCCTAATACTCAAAAGCAGCAATGATGTCCACTAGCTTATGAATGGAGAAACAACATATGCCCATAGAATTGTTTGAAAGTTCCAGAAGAGACAGTGGCATGTGCTGTACAAACTTGTAAATATATTAAAAATGATTTAATTGTATCACTAAATTTTATATAGTTTAATATAAGATATATATTTTAAAATGCTTGTATATTTAATCCAACCATCCATTAAAAATAGTAATGACCATGTATAGTTATACTAGGTTATACAATGTGACAAATACAATCTATTGTGTGAGAGTTCAAAGAAGAAAATCCATATGATTAATTGTTCTGTAAAATGTTTTTGAGAAAACATTTTAAACACTCATGGTTTTTTTTTTAACTCACAAAACTAAGAGAACAAGTACATAAAACCCAGTCATTAAATATTAAGGTAAGGCTGTGAATGTGGCTTAGTGGTAGAGTACTTGCCTAGCAAGCATGAAGCCCTGGGTTTAATTCCTCAGCACCACATAAACAGAAAAGCTGTTGCTCAAGTGGTAGAGTGCTAGCCTGGAGCAAAAGAAGCTCAGAGACAGTGCCTAGGCCCTTAATTTAAACCCCAAGATTATAAAAATAAAAAATAAGCTAAAAAAAATCTCTGTGGCTAAGACATAACATCTTGGGAAATATTTTCTATGATTCTTTTTAAATTTTAAAATAAAATACAAATAACTTTTTTTTTCTGGGTCAGTCGTGGGGCCTAAACTCTGGGCTTAGCACTGCCCCTCAGCTCTTTAGCTTAAGGCTAGTGCTCTACCACTTGAGCTATAGCTCCACTTCCAGCTTTTTCTGCTTATGTGGTGCTGAGGAATCAAACCCAGGGCCTCATGCGTGCAAGGTAAGCGTAAGCACACTACCACTAAGCCACCTTGCCAGCCCCAAATAACATTTTTTTATACAAATTAGAAAATACCAACTTTGTTACTTTGGGCAGTTTTTGTTCTTATAACACTTGAATTACAGGACCATATAGTTGACACACACTTGGTTTCCTTAATATTCTGTGTACTCTATAAAAATCTGGCCTTTATTTTCAGTGTACATATTTTCTTTTTCTTTACTTTTTCGTAGGTGTATTCGACACAAAAATGATTGGGGAGCTCTTCTTCTGGTAGATGACCGCTTCAATAATAACCCAAGTCGCTACACATCGGGTACGATTCCCAACTTAGTTTAAACTAAAAATTAGTAATTATTCGGTGTGGTAAAAACAAAAACATGTCATTTGCCTTCTTAAATTTCTAAGTATAGTTGAGTTTGACTACAGGAACCATATGCATCTCTCTTATGCTTCACTTAGCATAATGTATAAACTTAGTCCTCAACATTTATCCATGTTGAAGTGTCTGAAAGATTTCCTTCTTCTCTCTGACTAAACAAGCATATGTTCTTTCTTTCTTTCTTTCTTTTTTTTGTTAGTCGTGGGGCTTGAACTCTAGGCTTGGGCGCTATCCCTGCGCTCTTCAGCTCAAGGTGAGTGATCTACCACTTGAGCCACAGCATCACTTCCAGTTTTCTAGTGGTTTATTGAAGATAAGAGTCCCACGGACTTTGCTGCCTGGGCTGGCTTTGAACCGTGATCCTCAGATCTCAGTCTCTTGAGTAGCTAGGATTGCAGGCGTGAGCCACCAGTGCCCAGCAAGGATATGTTTTCTTGCATGTACATTTCATACTTTATCTGTCATTAGATGGAGAAAGATTGTTTCCACCTGTTGGATTACAGTGAACCATAAAAGTACAGTTGTCTCATCAAAATATTTATTTCTGTTGTTTTGAGTACACACCAAGAATGAGATTGCTGCTGGGCGCTGATGGCTCACGCCTGTAATCCTGGCTACTCAGGAGGCTGAGATCAGAAGATCATAGTTTGAAGCCAGCCGGGACAAGTCCTTGAGACTCTTATCTCTAATTAACCACCAGAAAACGGTAGTGGAGCTGTGACTCAAAGTGGTAGAGCAATAATCTTGAGTGAAAAAGCTCAGGGACAGAATCCAGTCCCTGAGTTCAAGCCCCACAACTGATAAAAAAAAAAAAAAAAGAGAGAGAGAGAAAGAAAGAAAGAATACAGTATCTGGAACAAACAACCATTCATCAAAAGAATGGAGAGATAAAGACTTGCCCAGATAAACAAATGGTAAGAAAGCTCATCACCACTAGATCTGCTAAAGGGGTTGAAAGTGTAGCTTGTTGATAAAGGTAAATGCATAGGCAAATACAGAATGTTTAACTACTGTATAACAATGATACATACATCACTTTTTCTTTCTTTCTTGTAGTATTAGGTATCAAACCTAGGATCCCACACATGCTCACCAACAACTCTACCACTGTATTACACCTCCAAGCCCCACAAATTACTTAAATTTTGGTAACAAATTTAAGACAAAAACCTAAAAAATGATTATAACTATAAAAACACATTACGTGTTTAACAGATACACAATAAAAAGAGATAATTTTTTACTTCTATAGCAACAAGTGTGGCAAAGGAAAAGTTTACATGTTTTGCATGTAAAACAGATTTTTGTAACTATGAAATGTTTTTATGTAAGACTTAAAGTAAGCAAAATATAGTACCTATAGAAACCCAATAAAAGAAAAGAATCAAAATATGTTGCTTAAAATGTTAATGAAACACCAAGAAAGGAAAAGGACAAGTGACAAAACAATTCAATAATAGCAAATAGCAAATCCGTCCTTCCTTTTCAATAACCTTAAATAGAAACGGATTATCCTTCTGTGTTACTCTCTTCAGGCTACTGTAACAAAATAGCACAGACTGGAGGCTTAAACTTAAAGCCGCCTTTTGTACTGGATCCTGGGAAATCCAAGATTAAGTCCAAGATGTGTCCACTGGCAGATCTGGTGTATGGCAAAGACTTACTTACTTCTTCTCAATCTCACAGAACAGGGCAACTCTTTCATGCTGCTGTTACAAAGACAATAAATCCTATTAAGGAGGGCACCTTACTTCCTAATGCTATCACTTGTGGTTGAGAATTTCAACACTGAATTTGGCGGGGGGGACATCACATTTGTACTGTGTTAACTTTTCATGGTAGTGATAAATATGTGGCATTTAAAAAAAAAAAAAATCCTTAGATGGGTACTGGTGGCTTACAATAATCCTATCTATGCAGGAGACTTGAGATCTGAGGATCAACTGAGGCTCAAGGTTTGAAGCCAGCCCAGGCAGGGAAGTCCTTGAAATTCTTATCTCCAGCTGAACACCAAACAGCCATAAGTGGGGCTGTGGCTCAAGTGGCAGAGCACTAGCCTTGAGCAAAAAAAAAAAAGTTAGGGAAAGTATTCAAGCCCTAAGGAAGATGTCAAACAATGCTATACCTTAAGAGATTTTTTTAAATTTATTTACTTATTAATTTATTTGCCAGTCCTGGGGCTTGAGCTCTGGGCCAGTGTGTTGTCTCTGAGCTCATTTTGCTTGTAGGCTAGTACTCTACCACTTGAGCCATAGTGCTACTTGTGGGTTTTTTTTCTCCCTGTGATTTATTGGAGATAAGTGTCTCACAGATTTTCCTGCCCAGGGTAGCTTCAAACTATGAGCCTCAGATCTCAGCTTCTTGAGTAGCTAGGATTGCAGGTGTGAGCCACTGGCACCTGGCGAGAAATTATAAAGAATAAAATTATACTCAAAGGTAGCAGGAAGGGCAATAAGGACTAGAATGAAAATAAATAAAACAGAACAGATAGCAGCTGGATGAATCAACAAAAGTAAGAGGTGAAAAGATCCAATAAAACAACTTTATATGTTGAGAAATTGAATAACCCTGAAGAAATGGATACGTTCTTAGAAACATAAAAATTTATTAGAATTAAATAATAAAAAAATGGAAAATCTGAATAGGCTCCACCACCATTCCCTAATAAAAATCCCAGCACTATTTTACATGGAACTTTAAAAAAAAGTGTCTGAAACCACAATGGACTATGAGTAGACAAAACAATCCTGAGTGATAGCAAGAGAGATCAAAGCTGCAGACATCATATCCATACTTTCAGATTTAAAGTATATTATGAAACCACAGTAATCAACAGTCTGGTGATACCATAAAGTGATATAGACCAATAGAACGTAACTGAGGGCCCAGAAATGAATGCAAGCATGTGTAGTCACATGTAGCTAATCTCCAACAAAGGTGTCAAGAAGATACAACAGAGAGAAGAGAGTGTCATCCCATCTCTGGGATGGGTGCTTCTTAGCACTTAGAAGGTAGAGAGGAAGATCGTGAATTCAAAGACAGTTGGGGCTACACAGAAAAACCCCGCCTCAACCACCAAATACAAAGATGCTGGGCAAACAGGATAAGCGTAGACAACAGAATCAAATTGGACCTTTATTTTATAATACACACACACACATACACACACTACTAAAGACTTAAACCTAAATCTGATACTGTAAGACTTCTAAGAGAAAATATAGGGGACAGAGTTCATAATATCGAACTTGGTAAATATCTATTACTCTGGAACTATAGTATGATCCAGTCATCTTCTTATTTTTTGTTGTTATTGGTAGTGGTGGTGGTTGTGGGGCTTGAACTCAGGGACTGGGTTCTGTCCCTGAGCTTTTTCACGCAGTACTAGTGCTCTACCACTTTGAGTCACAGCTCCACTACCGTTTTCTGGTGGTTAATTAGAGATAAGAGTCTTGTGGACTTTCTTGCCCAGGCTGGCTTCAAATTATGATCCTCTGATCTGAGCCTCCTGAGTAGCTAGGATTACCTTTATTTTATATAATGTTAGGCATAGTTTATTTTGTTCCTTTTTTTTTTTTTTTCTGGTCGTGGGGCCTGAACTCTGGGCCTGGGCACTGTCCCTCAGCTCTTCAGCTCAAGGCTAGTGCTCTACCACTTGAGCCACAGCGCCACTTCCAGCTTTTTCTGCTTATGTGGTGCTGAGGAATCGAACCCAGGGCCTCATGCATGCAAGGCAAGCGCTCTACCACTAAGCTACCACCCCAGCCCCTAGACATAGTTTAATAATACAGTAATATTTACAATTGTGAGCTGTAAACTCTTTTAAATGAATTTTCTAGCTAGACATTGTTGGATCATACCTGTAATCTTAGTTTCTCAGAAGGCTGAGACCTGGAAGATTAATGCTCAGGGCCAGTGCAGGCAGAAAAGTCTATAGGACTCCATCTCCAATTAATCAGCAAAATGATGGACTGGAGGCATAGTTCAAGTGGTATAGTGAGAATGTAAGGCCCTGAGTTCAGAACTCTGTTACTGACACCAAAGGAAGGGAATAAAAAGAATTTTCCAAGAAATACTGTTAATTAAACAAATGCATCTCTTTTAGCTTCTTAGAATTCTTTCTTTTGATTCAGTTAATGTGAAGTTAATTGTTTTGTTAATTTGCTTTTTTCTCTAGACATACTTTCATTATCTTAAGAGTTAATGTTTATCGAGCCTAGTATTTTCTGAAAGGAAATCAAGTATTATGGTTTGTAGCAGTATCAAGTAGATAGTATTTTTCCCACTCAGTTCAACAAATATTATATGCATATGATTTTTATCTAGCAATGAGATGGTCCTTTCAGAATCAATACTAGGGAACTATTTGTCAAAGAACTGCGGGATTTATTATTTTTATTATTACTGTTAAGAGGAAAAGTTCAAACTAAGAATGTGGCTTGTATTTGTAATCCTGTCTAGTTGGAAGGTTAACCTCAGGATGATCATTGTTTTGATAGAGGCCATTCTAAGCAAAAAAGTGTATGAGACACCATCTTAGCCAATAAAAAGCTGGGGGTGATTGTTCACCACTCTCATCCCCACTGCATGAGAAGTACCAATAAGAAGATGGTGGCCTAGGCCAGCCTGAGAGAAACAATGAGACTTGTATTTGAAAAACAATAAAAGCAAAAAGGTCTGATCCTTGACTCAAGTGGCAGAATACCTGTGTGACAAGCACAAATTACTGAGTTCAAACACCCAAGTACCTCTTAAAAAATGAAAATAAAAAAGATTTCCAGGTATCCCTGGCTTATGGTTGTAGTCTTAGCTACTCAAAGAGGAAGATATTGAGAGGAATTGCAGTTAGAATAAGGATCCAAGTGGACCCGTTGCAACAATGAGAAGTACAAGTTGTCATGTCGAAAACCAACTTTACAACTTTGGGGGGGGAGGGAGGATTGGGTGGGGGGACGGGGGGGGGGGGGGAAGGCTGGGAAGGGGAAACAAAGGAGGAGGCTACAATGCTTGATAAGAAATGTACTCATTATCTTGCCCATGTAATTGTAACCCCTCTGTACAGTATGTTCACAATAAAAAATAAATTTAAAAAAAATAAAAGAAAGTAGAGAGGCAGCCAGGCGCCGGTGACTCGTGCCTGTAATCCTGCCTACTCAGGCTGAGATCTGAGAATCACAGTTCAAAGCCAACCTGGGCAAGGAAAGTTCGTGAGACTCTATCTCCAATAAACCACTAGAAAGCCGGAAGTGGCACTGTGGCTCAAGTGGTAGAGTGCTTCCCTTGAGCTGAAGAGCACAAGGACAGTGCCCAAGCCCAGAGTTCAAGCCCCATGACCAACAAAAAAAAGAAAGAAAGAAAGTAGAGAGGCAAAAAGTTCTTGCTAGGTGAGGTATCATGCACCTGTCATCCCAGTTACATGGAAAGCATAAATAGGAGGATTAAGGTCAAGGATAGCTGGACAAAAAGGGAGACCCATCTCAAATACAGTCCAGGTAAAATGGCCAGAGGTGTGGCTCAAACGATAGAATACCTGCCTAGTAGACTCAAACCCCCAAACCTTTAGTTCAAACTCCAGTAGCACCAAAAACAAAAAAACAAGAAAGAGATTAAAAATTCATTAAATTATAATTAGGACATGGTAAAATTTAATTGTCTTTTAAGTTAGCTGTATATGAATGTAGACTTAACCTGCTCAGTTTCATTGTCAATAAAATTTAACTGCCAGGATTAAAGCAAAAATACTCCCTTCTTAGTGTTGTTTGTTGTTGTTGTTTTTAACCTTCCTATGTAAAACAAGCAGTAGCTTCAATTAAGCAGTAAGTCAAAGTACCAGGGCCAAATGCCTGTGTTTAGTCAGCAGGTGGAGCTCAGACTCTTTCAAGTTTCAAAAGCAAACTTGCATCCTATACTTTGTTTATAAAAAGGTCAAAGTTAAAAGGTAACTATAGGTTATTTTTTTTCAGTTTTAGAAAATATCAGTTTTATCTGGTATAAATAATCATTTTCCCCAAGCAAACTAAGAAATTTAAGGAAAATGCTTGTTGCTTTCTTTTTTTATCTTAAAATTTGAAAGTTTTACTTCATAGTTCAGATTTTTACAACATAATATTTCCATTATTAGTGGATATTTATTTTCTTTTTCTGACATTTGTAAAATGTTGTTTTACTTTGGTGATACTAGCATAGAACACACAAAAATCCTGTTTTGGTTGTTTTTTTTTTAGTGCCAGTTCTGGGGCTTGAACTCAGAGCCTGGGCACTGCCCCTTAGCTTTTTCACTTGAGGCTGGCACTCTACCACTTGAGCTACAGCTCTACTTCTTGATTATGAATGGTTAATTGGAGATATGTGTCATGGACTTTCCTTCTCAGACTGGTTTCAAACCTCAGTCATCAGATTGTAGCTTCCTGAGTAGGGAGGATAAATAGGTGTGAGCCCCTGGCACCCAGAGCAAATTCATTTTTTGTTTCGATTTGGGTTGTATAGAGAATTGATAGAAAAATTTCAAAAGGAATATATTTGAAATGAAAGTATAATTCAGGTTGCTTGAAGCTCTTTTATTCTTTAACATATAATTTCATAGCAGCATTTAAAACTAATTTTCAGAAAGATAATGGTACTTCTAATAGCATGAACCATAGAATACTTATTTTGTAAATTAAGATTTTTAATTAAGTTGAAAAATGCTTTATCCCTCCCCACAAAGCTGGGGATCAAACATGGGTCCCTATTGATTCTAGGCAGCACTGAACTCCATTTCTAGCCCACATTGTTATTGTTGTTGTTGTTGTTTTGGGGGAGAGGTTGGTCCCGGGGCTTGAACTCAGGGCCTGGGCTTTGTCCCTGAGCCTCTCTGTACTCAAAGCTAGCACTCTACCACTTGAGCCACAGCACCACTTCCAACCTTATTTATGTGCTATTGTGGAATCAAACCCAGGAATTAATCGTGCTAGGCAAGCACTCTACCACTAAGCCACATTCCCAGCCCCAAGACCACATTCTTAATCTGGTTTATTTTTATAGTTTTTATGTCATAGGTTAAATCATATTCCTTACTTTGAGTATATATTTGAAATTATGTAATAAAAAATTCAGATAGGGTTTGGCTTTCCAACAAGTGTGTTATTTCTTTCACCTCTTGAATAGTTGACTACATATTTGGAATTGGTGAACAAGATCTAAAAAAAAACTTTTGAGTTTTTGAATTTCTGGAAAAGGATGAAATGATTGCTTTATTTACAACTTCTAGTTTTGCTGCATGAAAATGTCAGGCAGTTCTTAGGGGAAAATACAATGAAATTAAATTTGCCTATTGTCCAACTGTCATCAACTAGAGATATAGTCATTTGCTAACTTGCAGTGGCTCTGCTTTACAGTGGTGTGACAGCATACACATTCTGCAGAAATTCCTTCAAAATTCTTGGCTGGCAATAAATGACATCACAAGATGCTGGCGTCAGCAGTCTTCTGCAGCTCTGGGTCAGCCACAGGATCACACAGTAAACAGTGGCTGCTCTCCATGCACCACAGTAGTTGCATTTAGTGCATTTTCAGCTTCCATTATTTTCAACCTAATGATGGGTTTATCAGGACATAATCCTACCATAAGTTACATGTATATTGTACATATGATCTAAAACATTCTGTACATTCAAGAGTCATTAGAAAAGGTAACTGAGTAACCATGTAACCAAATTTCCCCTGGATTCTTTTTCCTTTAGGACTTTCTAAATGGGTAAGACAAGAGATTCAGCACCATTCAACCTTTGAGAGTGCGCTGGAGTCCTTAGCTGAATTTGCTCAAAAGCACCAAAAGGTCACTAAGTCACCCAAAAAGAACAGGAAGAGTATACAAGACAATGAGTCTACTCCTAAAGGGGCCTGTTTGGAAGACAGACCCCATATGTATTTATTGGAAACAGCAAACCATCTACCACTAGAAACTCCTAGGGAAGATGAAGCAAAAATACGTATCCAGGAACTGCTAAGTGCCAAAGTGATCACCGAAAATATGTCTTCACAAAGCGACATGATCACCAGAAAGGAGAAAAGTACGTAATGCTGCATTCATTTACATCTAACAGAGAAATCTCTCACTGTAAAATAATGAAATGATATTTATTTTGGTATAGATTAATTTCTTGAAGTAGGTTACATAATATAAAATTATTATAAAATAATATGATACGCTATAATCGGGACCAAGTTCTATCAGAATAACAGAGTCCACTTTCTGATTTTCTGCTAATGAGCTTCATCATATCACTACCTTTGTGCCCATGAGCAAGACAGGAACTTTTGGAGTGAAAGCAAAAAAGGCTGAATCTGGGTTACATTCTAAAGATCAAATAAGGTGATCAACATCATTTTACAAATGGTAGATGCTTCTTTAAAGGCTGTATAAAAATTAGTCTAATTTTAAAATACGATTTGTTTGTTTTGCAGAGGAGTAAGTAAAATTTAATGGAACTCAGTCACATCCATTCTTTCACATTAGGGGCAGGTATAGCAAAGTGAGTAATTGTCTATATTGCACTAAAACAGCATAACTGAGTAGCTACAATGTGGCCTGTGAAGCCAAAAATATTTGCTATCTGACTTGGAACGGAAAAAAGTACCATACTCTGGTAATAAGGTATAATTTTAATTGTCTAATTCATCTGTCATTGTAGCTTAATCTATCTGTTGTTAAACATTCTTATATGCCTCTAAAGAAATACATAGTGACTTGACTATTATTCTAGTAATCAGGAGACTACTGAGTTCTAGTACTAGTCTTAAATACTAGCCAGTTTTATAACTTTGAGCAGATAACAGTCTTGCAATCATCACTTTCCCTATTTATTAAATTAGGGACTCAATCTAGGGCAGTTTTTCTCCCATGAATCCCTAATTTAATAAATAGGTTAGGAGGTTTTGAGTCCCTAATTTAATAAATAGGTTAGGAGGTTTTGAGTCCCTAATTTAATAAATAGGTTAGGAGGTTTTCGAGGCAAGATTTTACAACCTATTGCCTTTTTCACTCAACCCCCTTCCTCTTCCCTTTAACTCTTTCTTTTCTTATACAATTGATTGAGGTCCCTGGTGTGGAATTTAAGTTTACTAAGTAGCATTACAATTTAAGCTAGGAAACACTGGAGATGGGGTTTTTCTTTCAGAGTTAACATTATTTTCTGTAAAATCTAAGGTGAAAGTTCAATACTGCTAGTATTATATATATATATATATACACACACACACATAATATTAACATTATGTTATCTAATAAAATCACTCTAATAAAAATCACTCTAACTTAACAATAATATTAACCAGGAGCAGAAAGTTAAAGTTTTGAAATTTTTATATTTTTAGATGATTCAGTATTATTGGAAGAATCTGTTCAAGCACTGCAAGCAGAGCAAGTGATTTCTCGATCCTCAAGCCCAACTTTCAACAAACAAACCAAGAAAGGTAGCTGGTCTACTTTTTATTCTTTGAGAAAATGTTTTACTGATAGCATAGAGACTGCAACACCTGAGCTCACGTCCTCAGAGAATTGTTCTAGTTCTACCTACAAAACGGAAAAAGTGGAAGAGAAAACTGTTTTGCCACTCACTGATGAATGTGAGTTCTCAAATTTAACAGTAAGTGCATCGTTGGGGTCATGCCCTCAACAAGAAATCACTATTTCATCAATAAAGAAAGATGTCATTGAAGGAAATAATTCAAAACAACTGCTATGCTCTGATAAAGCCCTGGATCCAGATACTCCTTTGTCTCTAGTAAGCAAACAAGATAAATATCCCAGTTCAGCTGAAGCTTTGGAAGAAGAAGAAGCTGAAGATGAGTCTATATATTTCACACCTGAACTTTATGATCCTGTAGATGAAGATGAAGAAAATGAACTCAAGGAAACTGATAGGCTTAGTAATAATTCAGATTGCATTTTAGCTGAAGACCTTTTTGAAATTGGAACTGTAACAGGAGTGGTCAGCGAAAGGAAAGCTGAGGTTGCACAGGCACAAAGTTGAATTCAAGCTTACATACTGAAGAAAGATACGTTGAGGCTGGGAAGGTGGCTCCATGGTAGAGTGCTTGCCTCACATGCATGAGGCCCTGGGTTCAATTCCTTAGCACCACATAAGCAGAAAAATCTGGAGGTGGTACTGTGGCTTAAGTGGTAGAATGCTAACCTTGAGCTAATGAGCTGAGGCCCAGAGTTCAGGCCCCACGACCAACCAAAAAAAAAAAAAGAAAAAGAAAGAAAAATTGATGACATTGATGATAATGTAAAAATTTGTGTAAATGAATTGGAGCAGTGAGAAAACTCATGGAATAGGGAATGGTGATAACTTTAAGCAGTGTGCTCACTGATATTAGGTGATACTGTCAAGCCATAAAAACATATTGCTGTATTTTTATCTCAACTGTAAATAGTCACTTATCCACTGGATGACTGGAAGTTTTTGTAGTACTTTCTTGCTTTAGTTCATTGTTATCAGAGTTTTAAGTCTATTTTATGTTCAGGAAAGAAGTGTTTTGTTTATTTACAATACTGAGGATCGAACCCTAGACTAGGCAGGTGTGCTACCCCTGAGCTAGGACCCCTGGTCCTAGATCTGTTTTATGTTCAGAAATGTAAGTATTATTGTATTTTCATAAAATGATTTATACAAAGTATTTTGTCTAATAAGCCTTCTCTAATAAGTCTTTAAGATTAATCAGTTCAGAAGATACTTAGTTTCCTAAGGCACTTGTAATTTCACACAACTTCATGTTGTAGTTCACCTAATCCATTTGTTTTTGTAATGATTAATGACAGTTGAATCTACTCATACTTCATTATACTTTCACTATAGATTATATCTCATATTGATGTGAGGGTTTTTTTTTTTAAGATATCAAGTTTGTCTTAGAATGCTTACTGTCTTAATAAACTGCCTTGTATCTAAGAAAATTTAAGGAAGGAAACAACATGCATATATAATTGAACGTTTTTATTTGGGAAACCTAAAATCAAATGTATCATAAACAAAACAATGTAAGGTTATGAAATGCCAGGTGAAATAGTCCAAATGTTCAATTCTAATTACTCAGCTTCCCCATCTGTGTTGGAAACAATGATCTGCAACACTACTGATGATCTCCAACACTACTGACAAAAAGGTGATATGTCATGCATTAAGTTTTAGGCAACTATTAAAATAGAAAAAAATGACATGTAAATTTAATAAGCAGACCTACAAGCACAACTCAATTATGCTCCCTCAGAGCACAGAAAATCTTCTGTGAATTTTGAGTGTTTTGGTGAATGAAATTGTACATCTGATCAAAAATGGTTATTAAAGATGTTGGTTTCTAACATTAAAAAATATGTCCACTCATTTTTATCTAAGAAATACCTGTTATTCAGTGGATCCAAGACTAATTTGAAGTGAATGGTTGTATGTATGCCCTGTGGAAGTGCTGAGGATCAAACTCAGGGCTTTACATGCTAAGCAACCTCACTACCAGTGAACTGCCTCTCCAACCTGAACTGAAATTTTATGGGGTACTCATGTAGTGTAAATAGTCTGTTACTATCAGGTCAAAAATACCAGTAGTCAGATATTTTTGCATTCATTTGAAGGAATGAAATATATATGTATGTATGCTTGCATTTTTTGTTAGCATTTAGATTTTAAAATAGCTTATTTGCTTCTATAGCATTGGATGTTATCATCTTAAGCAATTTAAAGAAATTTAATTGGACATTTTACCAATTAAAAGAGTTTATCTGTAGATTGGGATATATTAGATTCCGCCCAGCCCAATAGCGGTATAATTATCCATTTGGTTGCAGATACCCTGTCCTTTCATTACTTAGAAATGTACCATAAGTTTTTAGTAACTCTAAAGCATTTCAGATTTTTTCCTATGATATCATTGTTGAACTAAACCTGTGGTCTTTGCAGGTTGCACTATTGAACAATATAATAATCCAAAATTTAAACAACTAATCTTTGTAGATATAAACCATTTTATTATTGATAATATTTTTTATTATCAATAATATAAGTAAGTTAAAACATATAAAATCACTTAAGGTAGTACCTGGCACATAACAGGCCACCAAGGCTTTTGATCCCTTATCCTTAAACCAGTTATTAGTAGATCAGTCTTATATTCACAATCAGTCATATATTTACAGTACATTCTGGCTTTAGATGAAGACTTTCTTAATTGTAGATATACAGATAAACTGACACTAAAGAACGGTTATTAATAGCAAAGGAAAAATTACTTAGCTGGATTATTTTAACTTTTAAAGATATTTAAATTGAGGAATTATCAGACAACTTGCCTCATACACTTAGCGCATATAAAATAAGTTATTTACTATTGAACTTATTCAAGGCTTGAAATCATAGAGGCCATGTATGATGAAAATTACCAGTTGGATAAAGGGTGTTTTTTTAATAAAAGCAACTGTGTAAAAAATAGAATTTTCATTTCTTGTTATTTGAACTTTAGATAAATTACTGAAAACATTCTAGAATTTTGTTAGGTATTACTAATAACTCTTACTATGTTCCTACTATGCATTTTTTATTATATGGTTTTAAATCTGGCACTGTTTCTACATACACATAAAGCTTTGTTTTTATTCTTAAGATCTTTCTATTCAAAACATTAATTTAAAAAAAGAGTACTCATATTTCTGAAATTGGGCTTTATCCTGTTATTTTCCTATAATAAAACGCACTCAAAATATTTAATTCTTTAGAATTGCTTAGAAAATTTAATGAAATAAAAGTGCCTGTCGTAAAAATTACTTGAAAGACTGACTGTTGTATTCATCTGCAAGTGATGGTATTCTTTTCATATTTGATAACTCACAATTACGCTCTTTGAATCTCAAATTTTTCAGTGAACGCAAAAATTTACTTAAGACTTCTTATGAATTCTTGATGTTTTCTTGTCTGTTTCCTTAGGTACATGCCACCATTCTTTTGTAAAGAAGAATTAGTAATGAAAAATTTCAGAATCAAAAATAATTTAAGATTACACAAGACACTGAATATCTAAGGAAGCTAAAACCTTAGTGTGAAATATCCTTGTGGCTATAAAACATAAAGAATACCACTTCAGGAAATGGAGATTTAGGAAAATGACCAAGGCTTATGATCCCTTACCCTTAAACCATTTCCATGTCTTTAAAGAAAAAAAAAATAGAATTTTGTTTCGTAAGGTTTCATTTGATGGAACCATTAGCTGCCTGGCTTCCTGTACTCCACAATGGAGCCTTGTTACAATATCCATGGGATCTGAGCCAGTGGATCACCTTGTTGGTAAGACCACCTTATAATGAGGTGCTTTTAGTAACTAAACCCTCTTGGATTAGGTCCAAAATAACCCATCTTATACCAAATTCCACTCCATAATAAACAAGATTCAGTGTATTGGAAAGAAAACAAAAGCTGTATAAAACTTACTGTGTTCAGAAATTAACCTTTGAAAATCAACTAGTACATACAGATTAAAAGGAATATTTAACAGCTTATAATTAGGGAGATATTTTAGTGCTTTCAAAAATAATTTTCTGGCGTGATTTTCCTTCTCAAGGCTTTTATATCCTTTTGATTATCCTTTTTTTTTTCATTTTGATTATCTTATACTTTGCCCAAAATTCTCATTGTTTTACATTAAAATATTTCACATCCATATTTTACAGAACTGGAGGCTAGGAATATAGGCCAGTGGTAGAGGACATGTTTAGCATGTATGAGGCCCTAGGTTCAATCCCCAACACCAAAAAACATTTTTTTACAGAATTTGATATTTGATATTTGTAGACTTTCCTTCCTATTATAAAATGATAAATTGTAGAAATGACATAATAAACTGATCAAATGGTATCACATTTTTATGTTTTGTATATAGTTGAAAAGTTTCAAAGGTATTAAGTACTGATTTGTTATTTGCGGGGATAGAGTATTGTCCTAGTTTTTTTATAAATGCTATTATGGCATGCATATTTAAGTGTTTAACTCATTTCAATCTTTTTTTAATCTGTCATAAAAGGACCTCAGAAGTAACCTGCTTTGCCAATGAGAACTAAAAAAACAGGAGAGCAAGACTTATAAAAGCTGACTTTGCCATCCTTAATATTCCTGTTGGACAAGCATAACCTTGAACTAAGGAGTTACTTATAGTATGCACTTCCCAGAATATACATTGCAATAAAATAGATAGGTGCATTAATATTTCCATATTTCATTCCTTAAAATTGCCTAGCACTATACATGGGTTTCTTAATCATTAGACTTGGAAACAAGTTACCGTGACACCTGCAACTTATTTTGGATAAGCTATTTGATCTCTGAATTTAGGAAATAATAATTTTGTAAGGAATAGATCAACATGAAAATGAAATGCAGTATAGTATCTAGAACCTCTTTTGCATGGGGTAAGGCGAAAGACAGCAGAATATGGATTTAGGAGGATGGATTTTGAGTTTTGCGCTTCTACTTACAGATTGGCCTTGGTTCTATGACTTTACCTCATTGAACCTCAGCTTTATTTAGGGAGGAGGGGGATGTGAGCAATAAATAGATTATTATGAGAATTAAGTGAAATTATGTTCAGTATGCAAAAGTCCTATATACATTTTAAGAGATGATACAGAATATTGTTTGGAAACAAACCAGAATCTAGTGTAAATGATACCTTAGTATCCTAAAATTGTACCTTTCAAGAACTAATAAATTTGTTAGAATTTGGTCCATGTACTGAAAAGCACTTCGAGCATCTTATTTTAAAAGTCTGTATAAATTCTTTCACTAGCAAAGCTTGAATAGTATGACAGTTGATTTTCTGTTTTAACAACTTGTGTTTTTATATCTTAAAATGTATACACAATCTGTTTTGAGATATCCATAAACCATATTCTTCTAATATAATTGGATTGTAAAATATGAATCAGATTTCTATTAACTTTGATTAGTCAGGGATTCATTAGCCTGACTGATGGTCAGTTTTCAGTCCTATTACCAGTCTGAGACAAAGTTAATCTTTCCTGCCCATGTCCCAAGGTAATGTTTACTAGGTAATAATATAATTAATGGTTTACAAGTCTGTCTCTCCTGCACATTGGGAACCCCTAAGAATAACAACAGCTTTCTATGTTACCTGTCAGGGATCCATTTGTTCATCTGATATACTTTGTGTCTGCTTTGAATCCAGAGCTCTGCCACACAGCAGTACTGAAGATGAGGAAGAAGACAATTACAGTAAAGTATGAGAAGTGTTATAGACATTAACATGTTATTCCTTTGGAAGTTTACTGGTTCCTCAAGACTAGATTAAGCATTCCTCATGTACCATCTTGACACCCTAACCTCCAGAGTATAATTTCAGTGCTATTTGAAAGTTGTGTATTTTAGCCTTTGTCTTCAGAGCCAGACTTACAAGTCTGTATAAAGTCAGATCTTGTTTGTTATTTTCTTCTCTTTTTTATTGTTACTGTAAAGGTGATGTGCAGAGGAGTTACAGTTACACAAGTCAGGTAAAGAGTACATTTCTTTTTTTTCTTTCTTTTTTTTTTTTTTTTTTTGTCGGCCGTGGGGCTTGAACTCTGGGCCTGGGCGCTATCCTTCAGCTCTTCAGCTCAAGGCGAGCGCTCTACCACTTGAGCTACAGCGCCACTTCCGGTTTTGTGGTGGTTTATTGGAGATAGGAGTCTCACGGTCTCTCCTGCCCGGGCTGGCTTTGAACCGCGATCCTCAGATCTCAGCCTCCTGAGTAGCTAGGATTACAGGCGTGAGCCACCAGCGCCCGGCTAGTACATTTCTTTTTGACAATGTCACCCCCTTCCTGCAATCTTTCCTAGTTTTCCCCTCTTGTCCCCACCCATAAGTTGTATAGTTCATTTTCAATATACTGTCCAGTAAATACCATTGCTGCATTTTGTTTGTCATTTTTATATCTGGTATTTGCCTTAAAATAATAATTTATAACAATATTCAGTTTCACAAACTGAACTGGGATATTTTGAAACTGGCTTTTGTGTAGATAGATGCTACTTGAATTGTTTATCATGTTAATACTGTTAGAATAGCCTGGTGTTTTAGAAGTCAGCTACTTCTCATGTAAGAGAAGGTAACTGAGGCCCATATGCATTGCAATGTTCCATCTGTTTATTTTTAATTTAGTTTAGTTCAGATTAGTTTGACTTTCTCAAGGAATTCTTAGGGGAAGGTACAATCATAGGTAACAAAAAAGTGAATTAATTTAAATACTAAAAAGTCTATTACATTTTTCATGACTATATAACTAGAGTTCATTTTGAAAAGCAGTATATGTTGGTGTTTTATTGTTACCGTTATATGTAACAATTCTTTATAGAGTGTCTTCTAGTTGACTAGCATACAGCTATAGGCATGGTGGTGCACGCATGTACCTTGTGCTTATAGGACCAGCTACTTGGGAGATTGGGGCAGGCAGATTATCTGAGCCCAGTTTGAGACAAGGTTGAGACATGTCTCAAAAAATGAAAACCTGCCAGGAACTGTTGGCTATCTGTAATCCTAGCTACTTAAGAGGATGAGATCTTTTCAGCATAGGCAGAGAAGTCTGTGAAAATCTCATCTCCAATTAACCAGCAAACAGCCAGAGCTGTGGCTCAAAGTGGTAGAGTGCCAGCCTTAGAAAAAGCCACATGGGAGCATGAAGTCTTGAGTTCAAGCCCCAGTACCAGAACAAAGGAAAAAAAAACCCTACTAAATTCCTACAACTAGCAGTATTTTTAAAGGAAATCATAACTCTTTCTTAATAAGTCTTTACTAAATCTTAACTACTTTTACTTTCAGAAATATTTTTAAAGCTTTTCCAAGAATACTGAGCTGGTTAAACTCCAAAAAGTCTTCCTAAATATTGAACTAAACTGCACAAAATCTCTTTACCATTGTTCAAATGAGTCAGTACAGATGAGAAGAAAACTCACTTTGTCATCAGTGACAGTGCTGCTGTTTAAAAACTGCAGTAACTGCTATCAGACCAGTACAGAAAGAAAGTAAGGTTAATGGCTACATACCTTAGCACGTTCTGAAGCCTTCAAATGCAAGTAATGTACGTTTTTCACTTTCATGTTAAGTTCTGAACTTATTTATTTATTGGTGCTGGTCCTGGGACTTGAACTCAGGGCCTAGCTGCTGTCCCTGAGATTCTTTTTCTCAATACTACTACTCTACCACTTGAGCCACAGCTCTACTTCTGGCTTTTTAGTAGTTAATTGGTGATAAGAGTCTCATAGTTTTTCCTGCCTGGGCTGGCTTCAAACTTTGATTCTTGAGTCTCAGTCTTCTGAGTAGCTAGCATTATAGACATGAGCCACCAGCACTTGGCTGTTAAATTGCTTTTTAAGATAAATTTAACTCCCTTAATTGCAAAGGTAAAGATAGTTTTTCAAATACAAATTGTATAAAACAAAGAAATGTACAAATACAAATGTCACATTGGAATAAATGAGGCATTGACCCATCTGTTTCTGATACTGACTCTAAAGAAAACATTCCAATGGCATACAAATCCAAATTCAAGCTTTGGCAGGCTCAACCTGGGTATGAGATGGGTAGTAACTCTTAGAGGCAGCTTTACAGGATAAAAGAAACCGACTTCCACCAGCTGTTCTAACAAACAAGGGTATGGGTGCTTATATACAAACAAATGACCCATCAACCCATGTCTTTCTTCCTGTATAAATTTCTCAGATTGCAATTTCCCAATTTCTTTCAAGATTGCTCATCTTATTCATTTTTATCTTGCCACTACCTG